GTGAGCCTGCGTCACGTCCTGTGTCACCTGCGTCTCGTCGAGCGTCGCCTGTTCGTGCTGCTACCACTGGTAGTCGTGTCCAGCGTCAGCGTCCTCCTGCTGTCCCAGGCACTCACCAGATGGCGCTTCGTCAGTCCACTGCTCCACAGCGTGTCGCTCTCCCGTCGCCTCCTTCGTCCTCTCTTCCTGCTCTTGCTGACCCGGAGTCAGACACCCTTCGTGCTGCCAGTCCTACTGTCACACGTCTCCTGGCTACAGTTGTCAGTGACCCTTCCTTTGAGTCCGCTGCTGCGTCTGCCTTGGTCACTGAGCTTGTCGACTTTGCAGCTGCGTGTCGTCTACACTACGCTGCGAGTCTTGTCGCTGAGTCTGAGTCTGTCTGTCCTCCGTCCGTTGGGGGTGAGTGTGCTCTTGGCACGGACGTTCTTGAGGACAGACAGGAGGAGTTTGGTTGCCTTGCCGCTGCTTTGCCCCATCTCGTGTCCATGCTTGTTGCCCCTGAGGGAGACCCGGATGCACCAGACATCCCGACCCCACGCTCTTACGCAGAGGCGATGGCCGGTCCCTACTCCTCTCAATGGCAGTCAGCCATGGACACAGAGATGGCTTCCTGGAACTCCACTGGCACCTACGTCGACGAGGTTCCCCCACCTGGGGCGAACATCGTCAGTGGCATGTGGATTTTCAGGGTGAAGCGGCCGCCGGGCTCTCCGCCTGTCTTCAAGGCGCGTTACGTTGCACGAGGCTTCAGTCAGCGAGAGGGAGTTGACTTCTTCCAGACCTTCTCCCCGACCCCGAAGATGACCACTCTTCGGGTTCTGCTACACGTCGCCGCTCAGCGTGACTACGAGCTCCACTCTCTTGACTTTAGCACAGCTTTCTTACAGGGCAGCCTGCACGAGGAGATCTGGCTGCGCCGCCCACCTGGCTTCACTGGGTCGTTCCCTCCTGGTACCCAGTGGAGCCTCAGGCGACCAGTCTACGGTCTCCGCCAGGCGCCACGTGAGTGGCACGACACACTGAGGACTACACTTGCGGCTCTTGGGTTCGCTCCTTCTACTGCTGACCCGTCACTGTTTCTACGCACTAACACCTCAATGCCGCCGTTCTACATCCTCGTGTACGTCGACGACTTGGTCTTTGCCACTTCTGACACAGCTGGTCTCGCTCACGTGAAGTCCGAGCTGCAGAAGAGACACACGTGCACAGACCTGGGTGAACTGACAAGCTATCTTGGCTTGCGGATCACCCGGGACAGAGCACGGCACACCATCACCTTGACTCAGTCACACATGGTGCAGCAGGTCCTTCAGCGCTTCGGCTTCACGTACTCCTCGCCTCAGTCCACACCTCTGCCTACGGGACACTCGCTCTCAGCTCTGCCTTCGGATGAGTCCGTAGAGCCGAGTGGTCCGTATCCAGAGCTTGTGGGCTGCCTCATGTACCTGATGACCTGCACTCGACCTGACCTTGCATACCCTCTCAGCATCTTAGCACGCTATGTCGCTCCCGGCCGTCACCGGAAGGAGCACATGGATGCAGCTAAGAGGGTGTTGCGCTACTTGTGCAGTACGTCGGGCATGGGGCTAGTGCTTGGAGGGCGAGACCGGCCTGTTCTCACTGGGCATTCAGACGCTTCTTGGGCAGACGACCAGGCTACTCAGCGGTCGTCTCAGGGTTACACCTTCAGTCTTGGCTCTGGCTCTGTCTCTTGGCGTTCTACTCGTTCTTCTTCTGTTCTCGGCTCCAGCTGTGAGGCTGAGATCTACGCCACGGCCATGGCTGCCCAGGAGCTTCGCTGGCTCACCTACCTGCTGACTGACCTTGGAGAGCAGCCTCGTTCTCCTCCAGTAATGTGCGTCGACAACAAGGCAACCATAGCCTTGTGTTAGGAGCACAGACTGGAGCACAGGACGAAGCACATTGCTCTGCGTTACTTTCTAGCTCGAGAGCTACAGCAGCGTGGTCAGCTTCTTCTGCGTTACGTGGCCACTGAGGCCAACACTGCTGATGTGTTCACCAAGGCGCTTCCGCCTGTTGACCATCAGCGTTTTTGCACTCTTCTAGGCCTTGTGCCGACTGTTCCTCACTTGCTTACTTCTTGACCTTGCCTGTACTGTGATCATTATATATATACCTGCATGTTTGCCCTTGCTAGGTTGTGATCATTGTACCTCTTGCTCTGTTATAAAACTGCATGTGAACTGGTCTTGTGACCGCTTACTTGTGCTCGGAATTTGTGTGGAATCCTCGAGATCCACCCTGAGCTTGTTTGCCTTGTTTTGCCTTGACTGGTCTTGTGACCCCTAGGTCTCCCCCACTTTGCCTATGGGGGTGTGTCAAACATTATATGTTTGTGTGGTTCTAGGTTGTAGTGGGTCACACCATAGGGGGTACACCAGATTAGGGTTTCACATTTGTACTCTTGTTCCTGCTAGTCACTCTCACTCCTGTTTCTCATTCTGACACCTTGTGCAGTTTGTCCTGTTGGAGTCGTCGGGGCTTGAATCTTTGTCGTGGGATTTGCTTGCGTTGAAGTGACTTGGGAGCTTGAAGACCGAAGTTGTCGCTGTGGTGTTGTCGATTGCTGACGATATGGGCAGTGCGTACGAGGATGCCCTGAAGTTTTGCATATGTGACAAAACGGAGGTACTGGCTTCAGTTGTTGCTGCCGATTGTTGTTGTTGTTGTACCGTCGATGGGTGTGAAACGCGAACTCTGGTACTGATACCTTTCTCTTGTGTCGTTCTTCTTGCAGGTCCATGTCTTGCTGCTCAGCATGGATTTCGGCGCAGAGTGCTGCTTCGGAGATTCTCCCGTGTGCTCGTAGTATGGCGTGAGTGGAGCGCCAGTGAGGGTCAAGACCGCCGATGACAACCGTGACGAAGGCGTCTTCTGAAATCGATCCTCCACATCGAAGAAGCTTGTCGCGCAGCTCGCGACAGCGACTGATATACGCCATTCCCTTCTCGCCTGGTTTCATTTCGATTGTTGTCAGTTGCGCCATTAACCGACTTTGGTTTACGCTGTCTGTTGCTTGATACAGGTACTTCAAGTGGTTGTACGCGAGCTCCGCGGAGTTACCGTAACCTCGGTAAGTCCTTATGTTATGCCGTTGAGTCGGGGTGATGTTCCGCAGTAGTATTGTGTACGCCATCATCGATTGATAGGTGTACTGCTGCTTCTCATACTGTGTGCCGTTTGTTGGATATGGCAGGGACCCGTCGAAGAAGCCAAGGATCTGCGCTCCTTCCATCGTCAGCTCGAATTCGAACGACCAGGTAAAGAAGTCCTTCCCGTCGAAGGGTTTTGTCGTTTGTAGTTTTAGAACATGCGCGAACTGCGAATGAACTTGTAGTGCGTCCAGCGCTCTTTCTTGTCCCGGTGCAGGTTGTGGTTGTGGCATGAAGCTGACGGAGCCGCGCTGGGGCTCGTACGGAGCAAATGTAGGTTGTTGTTGTTGATTCCCGCGTGCGTAGGATGAGCCATCGAGACTCATGGGCGTCACGTTGTTGTTGTTGTTGCTGTTGTTTGATTGTGCAGGTACTCCTTGCTGATGCTGCTCATAGAAGGACATGAAGGAGAAGAATTTCTCCATCATGCTTGGATCGAAGCCCGCGCCTTGGTTTGCGGGTGTTTCAGTAGACCCAGCTGCTGGTCTCGTTGTTGTCCCTTCCTCTGTCTGTAGGCCAGAGGCAGGAGGTGGAGTAGGGGTAGTACCGGGAGAGCCGTTGGAGGAGCTCCTCTCCTTTCTAGCAGACATGTCTTCTTGGTGTAATAAGTATTTGAAGAAAAGTAACTTTTAACTCTAACCTGCTCTCATACCATGTTGGGCTGAAAGCCCTAGGATCTTTGGTAGAGTTAATAGTCTGAGTAAATGATGTAGTAGCGGAAGCGTTTTGAATAAAGTCCTTGAACCACCTTGCGCTAGTATGTGAGGGCAAAGTAAGTTGATTAAAGCAAAGAGATACAGGAATATATATATGAGTACAGAGAATATGAAGAGACATAACTGTAACTACTTTACTGTTGCGGTTCGATACAGTGCGACTCGGGCAACTGCTCAATGTCGAGTCAGTTGTGTGTCCTTGCTGTCGCGCTGCATTTGTCAGGTCAAAGGTCGCTGACCTTTGACTTTCGCGTAACCTCCAGCGGTTACATCTACCTCCGAGGGTTGACTCGCTGGTGCTTCGATTGCATTGCTTCGCTTGTGTCTTGGAGTTTCGACACGACAGAGGCGCTCAAGACTATTTGTTCCCAACAAAAGAAAGGTTCCAAGTATGGTGAGTAGAGGTGTTGGTAAGTCGATGGCAGAAGCACCCTTCTCTTCTTCATGCTTTTTAAGGAAGTCTCGCTTCATCACAGAGTAATAAGAGTGAAGCTCATGTTCTGTGTTTCCCACGCATCTGTCCTTTGTATTGCTATGGGTGGGGACCAATGACCGCACATGCGTTTTGGCTTCCATCGTTTGATGCATGTCTTTTGCTGATGCCCTTTCTTTCTCCGCTCCATCTCTCCCCTCCATTGCTCACTCCTCTTACTGAAATACACAGGTTCATTGAGGATTACTGACTGCTACCATGTACCCAAGAGATTCCACTGCCCACACACCTCACTGACACACACGGCCGTTTAGAAATGATATCTCTTTGCAATGCCACTAAGTCAATGTGTGACACGACCTCATGCCTCTTCAAGAAAGTTTGCCTTATGCTCAAGTAAACTGAACCAGCATGTAAACTGAACTGGCAAGGACCAGCATACTAACATGTCAATTGCCTCTGTCCGAGCAGTTGATTTTACAGCCCTCCCAACAGGCACTCAAGCCCTCCCAATGCACACTACCATTCGCATTTATGTTTCAATATTGGATGACGGTACACTGTGAACAATCAAGTGGTAACCCATACAAGCATGTAAGATCATTAACTATAACAACAGGATAGCTAAGCCCAGCTCAGCTCCCCAACTACAAATGGACCAGCCTTCCGTCCCTCCCTTCACTTTCTCTCCAGGAGCACAAGCCGCAGTGGCTTTGCCAGTGCCACAGTAAGACTAAACTCCTCTCTCAAGTCCACTCCACCAGACTTGATCACATCTTCGGGCAGCTTCAAGCTAAACCGATAAATAAAATTTGCCAGCATGCGAGCAGATAGATCCATGCCCAGGTTCATCCCCACACACCCACGCCTGCCCGAACCAAATGGCAGGACACTGAAATCCTGCCCGGTCACATCAGGGGCAGACGGGCCGAGAAACCTGCTGGGGTCAAATTCATCGGGGTTGGTCCAGACCGTTGGATCGTGAGCAAGACCCCAGCCGTTGATCTGAATGATTGTGTCTGGAGGGATGGTGTAACCGCCAAGAGCAACGCTGGCAGTTGTCACGTGAGGGATAAGGAGCGGTACTGGTGGGTGGTGCCTCAGAGTCTCTTTAATCACCGCCTGAAGATATGGCATCTCTTGTACTGGAAGCGACGCATTTTCAGCGCCCTGTTTCCCATTGGTTTCTCCTCCTGCTGCCGCTGCTGCTGCTGCAGCTGACTTGGCATGCGCCGCATCCACCTCAGCTTGGAGACGTTCTAGCACGGCCGGGTGGCGTGCCAGCTCAGCAAGGGCCCATTCCACGGTTTTAGCAGTGGTGTCAGTGCCAGCATTCATCATGTCCATACAAAGCAGCATAATATGTTTCCTGGTAACCCTATCCTCCCCTTCACCCTCCATCTCCAACAGAGCATCCACCATCGCTCTCTCACCACCATCCCCCCCTCCCGTCCCCGCAACCCCCGCTTTTCCATTTGTACCCATATTTTCTCGCTCCTCTTCCTCTCTCCGCTTTTTTAGCATCCGGCTTCTCTCCTCGATGCAGGAAAGCAGGAACCCATCAACATTCGGTTTAAGCCGCTTCGCGCGCCAGTAGATGCGCTGCGGGTCCAAAGGGCTGAGCCACGGAACGAAATCCGCCAAGTTAAATGTCCCCATCACCTGAAACGTCTCGTCGACAATCGCGATCACCTTCTCGCCTTCCATTTCGTCCTCCGCCGCAGATCGCGGCGAAATTTCCGCAGACTCCTTGGCCAGCCGTCCCTCCCAGTCCGTCTTGTAAGCCGCTTCGAGCATCTCGCCGGGCGCGGCGGCGGCGGCGCGACGGATCGTGCTGTAGGTATAATGCTTCCCGACAGTCAGCCGCAGAATGAGGTTCAGCGTCGCGCGGTTCAGATACCCTCGCAGTTCCACGCCTCTCGCGTCCCCGTTATTAGCCACCTCGGCAATCGCGTCGAGCATAGCGCGGATCTCCCGCTCGCGCACGGCTAGGCTCTGCTGTAAGGCCCGCGCCGTGAGGAGATGCAGCGTCGCCAGTCGTCGCTGCGTTCGCCAATGTTCGTCGGCCGGCGAAAAAACAATGTCCTTCCCTCCATCGACCATGAATGCGAGAAGTTGTAAGAGCGGGCGTGAAGAGCAGATCTTATCCTGCGTTTTAAGCACCTCACGAGCCAGCTCCGGGGAGGATATAATCACAGACGGAAATGACCCGAGCCAGACGGTCAGGATTGGACCGAACCTGTCCGCCAACTTCGCGAGCGTGCGGTACGGCAGGACGCCCAGGTCCGGAAGGTTACCGAGGATGGGCCACGGGGAAGGGCCCGGAGGTAAGGAATAGCGACGACGGAGGAAAGTCAGCCATGTCGTCGAGATGTACAACGCGATTGCTGCGATTATCGCCGTGAAAAGCAACGGCATTTGATAATAATCACCAATAGCTACCCATGCTTCCGTCGCGGCAAGTGACTGAGAATTCATGTTTCCTACACCTGGATTTCTTCGCAGTCTGCCTTGCGGATTCACTAGGCGCTGTCCTTACTAGCTTCGACGCTGGTCCCTCTGCATCTGTCAAATGATTCCTATCGTTGGCCATGAGTCTGTACTGTAATATATGTGGAGGAGCGATCAGAGCAGAAGCATGAACATAGAGAATGTCGAGTGGATAGAAGGATCTGGAGCGCGAAATGGTATTAGTTAAAGTGAAAATCGGCAGGTTCTGATTCGTGGTTGGAAAACGTAATCTCGTACAGGACCGAGGCCGACGGGACGGCTGGTCCTCGGTTTGCGAGCCTCGGATAGTTGATTTGGGTGTGACCTTGAGTGTGGACCCAGTCCCCGAAATTTTATTTTTTTTTTATGATAATTGAAAGTATATACCGAGTGTACAAGCATATACTGACAAGAACGGTCGTAACCGTGCGTGAGGAACTAGGGGGAACCCCTTGCTCCAGATAAGATTCTAGGGCCAAGTGTTGTTGGCCCTCCGTGCCGACCATAATGCTGCAAAGCCACTCTTCCACCTTCCCTTGCCATCCTCCCTGATTTTCCCAAGCATGTTCCGCTCCTCCGATGAATCTTGCTGCCTCCGCTTCTGCCACGTTGGCCCCGATCTGTGGTTGTACAGTCTCACATGCTGCCGAAATGCCACCTCAATCCGTCTCAAGACTCGTTGTGTCCGAAACTTTTGCCCCGTGAAGACCGCTTCACACCGCTCGAGCCATAATTGGTGCAAAGTGATTGATATCAGCGTCAGCTCCGGAAAAGCTGAGCTGGTTCCAGCCTCCTGAAACAGAAGATCACCCAGCGTGACTGTCGTGCGGCTGGGATTTAGCATGCCCAGAGCGCGCCGAAGGGCCCCGGAAACCATCTGGATCTTGGGGCAGAGGACCAGGCAATGCTCCAAAGTCTCAGTTTCCCCGCAATAAGGGCACACCGGCTTGCTGCTGAGGAACGCCAGTCTCTCCCCCACTTGCAGATTCAGACCGTGAATTCTGGTAAGCACATCACGTGGACGGTTAGGAACCGCCAGCGAGTCTCGCGTGTTCACAGCCCGTTTCCAATCAATGACTCCACCCCAGCGTGCCGCCCATTTTGCACGCTTGTAGGATTCCTTCCGAGCCTCTACCCAACTCTCCTTCATCTTCTTCAAGGGAATTATGTGCCCCTCCTCCAGGATCACCAACTGCTGAAGAGAGTCAGCCGAACAGGGGAGTACAGTCGGAAAGCCTAACTCTCTGCTCCACCTAGCTGGTATCGACCCCACAGCTTTTAGTGCCAGCTTCGCCGGGGCACTGCTGCCCAGGAGTGCCGTTAGCTCTGCAACCGACTTCTGCAATAGCACCCCATCCTCACTTCGTGAGAATAAATCCCCAAGCCGCAGGTCCCATAGCCTCCTGGCATCCTTTTGTCCCCCGATCGGAGTGGTCCCGCGCATCAGTATGTTTTTGTTAAAAACAACCCGCTCCTGTAGGATCTCTTCTCTCGTTCTGGCTGGACCACGTAGACACAGCGGCGAGCCGGAGAGGCTTTCGCACGTCTGCTTCCAGCGGACACTTCCGCCTTCCCAGTTTTTGAAGAGCCTTTCATGGGCCCCAAACGAGTCGACGCCCAGAGGAAGCTTCGCCGCCCGCTCCATCAAATCTTTCTTTAAGCAGTTTTTTTCCGTGACGTATAATCCCGCCCTTCTCGCCGCCAGACAGGTGATAACGATCTCCGGGTCTCTAACTCCAATTCCGCCCGCCTCTCTCGTCGTGTATAGCAGAACTTTGCTCCAGAGAAAGAAGCCTTTTGCCGCTGATACTCTGTTGCCAGATAAGAAACCATGCAGCATACGCACCAAGTGTCAGAGGTCCACTGGTGATCCCCGATCGATCCTAGGGAAGGGTTACAGGCACGTTTGCCTGGGGGGTTATGGGCGCACTGACCCACTACTGAAACAAGCCCTTTTATCCCAATGGTCTAGTGGTTGGGATTCTGAGATGGTATCCAGAGCGAAGGTCTCGGGTTCGAATCCCGGTGTATGCACTTCGGGCATCCCAGTGCGGGGGGGTGTCAGAGGTCCACTGGTGATCCCCGATCGATCCTAGGGAAGGGTTACAGGCACGTTTGCCTGGGGGGTTATGGGCGCACTGACCCGCTACTGAAACAAGCCCTTTTATCCCAATGGTCTAGTGGTTGGGATTCTGAGACCAAGTCCTCCCAGACCTCTGCAGACGGCGGGTAGACTTGAGCTTGGAATGCGATCAACGGAGTAATGTAAAAATTCACCACCGATGCACGCGCCGCCGTCGTCAGGTACTTCTGCTTCCATTTCACCAACTTTTCAGCGACACGACCGATTGCCTTCTCCCATGTCGCTTGCCCATCCCCCGAGGGAGACACCCATACCCCCAGCAGGCGTTCAGCGTCATTTGCACCGGCCCATTTGAAGTCAGACGAGCCGTCCGCCGCCTCTCCGATATTAATCCCCAGAGGTAACACCACGGATTTCCCTTTATTTGTTGCCAGACCTGCTGCTTTTTCGAAATTGTCCAAAATCTCTTCCGCCTTAACAATTTGCTCTTTCCCATGCAGAATGAGCGTCGTATCATCAGCGTAACCGAGGTAGCTCAGCTGCTGCCCATCCTTGTCAAGCCCCAGCTTTGCCTTCTCCACCTCCTGAGCCAAAGGCTCCACCGCACACAGGAAGAGGTAAGGGGCAAGAGGGCAACCCTGCCGTACCCCCGAGACCACAGTTAATCCTCCCCCGAGCCAGCCGTTAACCAGCAGCTTCGTCGTGGTGTTTTCATGCAGGCCCTCAATCCAGCCAACATATCGCTCCGGAAACCCCATTTTTCGAAGCACCTGGAAGAGAAAATCTCTTCACACCGAGTCAAAGGCCGTCTGGAAATCAACCAATAACATGTACCTGTCCGCCTTCTCGTTTCTCGCCACATCAATGACGTCAGCCACCAGCGCGACCGCGTCAGACAGTCGCTTCCCCGGGATAAAACCATACTGCTCCGGTGAGATGACTTGATGCAGGACCCGCTTCATTCTGTCCGCCATTACTTTTGCCAGCACCTTATATGTGAAATTGAGAAGCGTGATGGGCCTGTAGTTATTTAACTGGTCCCGGTCACCCTTCTTGTGCAACAGGATCGTGACCGCCTCCTTGAGTTCCCCCGGGAGCGAAGCTGACCGTTCGAAGTCTTTGACCATAGCCATGAAACTATCCCCCAGCAGGTCCCAGTGACACTCGAACAGCTCCTTGGGAAGACCGTCCCTCCCTGGTGATTTGTTCCTCGCCATTGATGTGAAAGCTGCTTTAACTTCCTGCTCTGACCAATCTGCCTTTAACATGTCCTCTGCTTCTTTCCCCAAGCACCGGCTTGGATTAAACACCCAGCTCGAGAAATCCGTACGTCGGTCTGTGCCGAAGATGTTATTGAAAAAGACCGACGCAGCACCAAGAATTTGCTGCACCCCAGTCACCGTGCGACCACCTTCCCTCAGCTCCTTGATTTGAGTGCGAGCCTTCCTCGCTCGGACTTTTGCAGACAGATGTTTTGAGGCGATTTCACCGGTCAGCTCCTCTTTCAATCCGGCCTGCAGGTGCAGCCTCTCCCTCCTCGCTTCCTGGTACGATTTCAGCTGCAGTTCCTTAGCTGCAAGCGCATCCCGTGTAATACTGCATGTCGGATTCCGCATCAACTCTTGTTTCAGCAGCGCAACCATGCTGACCAGATGACCCAGTGTTTTCTTAACACGTTTGCTTTCCTCCCGTGCATACGCCGTTAAACCAGCCCCCAGCCGAGCAAGTAGGAGCTCAAAGCTGCTGCCATCTTTCACCGTCGTTCTGCAAACTGTAGCCTCAATAATCTTCCGCACTCCCGGCCTCCGTACCATCGAGGCATGAAGCATCCAGATGCCCGGACCTGTGCAGATTTTCTCATCCAGACGGAAAGCAACTTGGATCGCGAAACCATGGTCCGAGATGGGCTCCTTCGGCATGTCATGCCTGGCGGTAACAAGGTGAGTTAAAAGCGATTGTGAGACAAGTGCACGATCAATGCGAGTGCTGCAGCGATGCGAGTGCGCATAGAATGTGTATTCTCTGTCCCGTGGGTGCAGAGTGCGAAAGGCGTCGGAAAGTTGGAAAGTGGTGCAGCGCAAGAGGAGCTTCTCATTTTCAGTCGACGAGCCTGAGCCTGAGGATCTGTCCAGCTTTGGATCGTCCGTCAGGTTCAAGTCACCGATGATAAGAAGGTGAGAGGAAGGCGGAGCTGAGTGGCTGCTCAGGTACAAGAGGGGTCTACCTGACGGGTGTAACTCCGTGTCATGAAAAGTGATGTTATCATCGCTACAGAGGATTGCTACTCCGCCAGCGCTGGCTCTAGGGGGATTAACTAAGGCTTCGTACGAGGTGAGTCTTGACTAGAAGGAATGGCTATTATCTATCCTAGTCCCCGAATTGCAATTGCGAAACAGACACATTTCGTTAAAAAACACCCGGTAGCATCGTGAATGGAAACCCTTGAAGACTGTTCCCCTCGTTGCGTTTAGGCGCTTATGATTGGTTAACGAGTTTCTAAGCTTTGTTTCGTCAAACCTGACACTGACGAACAGCAGGTAAGATCAAATTGGTTGGGGACGGTCCTATACGTTGGGGTGCGATGTCGTACGTGTCAGAGCGGTATTACCCATTTCTTTACGTTTGTGTGGGGTTCGGAGGGAGGTCATGCAGGCAAACACAGATCAGCTGCAGCGATAGCGAAAACTTCCATTCCCCAGCTGTTCCCTCACACGAGCCACGACCGCGGAATCCTGGATTACATAGCTCACCCGCACTGCCTGTGAAAGCACACGCGAACTCCGCACGCATGGTCGCTTACGCGTGTACCATTTCATTCCGCCATAACGTGTATTTTCCAGGGTATAATTACCGCGGATTTCAGGAGCGATCGAAGTTGCGGAACAAACACACGACAACTTTCAGAAATCGGACACGACCCGTGCCCTTTTTTAGAATTCTAAAGAGTTGGACACGACCTGTACGGTATTCGCTCTTTTTTTCCGCATCGTGCCGAACGAATCACGACGGTTTACTTCTTTCGTGCATCGCAACATCACCGCAAGCGATAACTTTGGACGAAGGTTTACCACCTGACTGTGGCGTCCGTTGGGATGGATGGCTAGGATTGCAAGTTTGTTCGGGGCGCGTAAGCACCGCCGTTAGCGAAATCAGCGAAAGCTTTCATTGAAGACGTTCCTTCCCGTCAATCCCCGAAAACCCCTGTATGCTTGGTATGATGATCGGCAAGCACCAGAGGAAAGGTGAGTAAGCACGGGGAAACTTTTTGAGGAACCTAATAAATGGTCGAAGCTATGGTTCTGTCCCGTCGAATCTCAAATGACCGCATGCCAGGAATATTGATCCGCGAGCACGAAGGGAAAGATGAGTTAGCGCTGCGAAACTGCTGGGTGAGCGTTGGGTGTCAAAGGTACGATGGGGGATGAGAGCAGGGGGAAATCACTTTTGAGAATTCTCAAAAGTGACTCCAACTCGCGTGTCAGAGGAGTGAGGGCTGGGGGGGGGTCATGGATGAGCTCCTGGGGAAAGGTGAGTGAGTGCGTGGGAATGAAGGGTGAGCGATAGGATAATAATGAGCGGCTTAGAGCAGGAATGATGAGGGATGAGGGCAGGGGGCGCATCCTGGGTGGGCTGCTTGGGGAGAGATGGGTGTATGCGGGGGGGCTGTTGGGTGAGCGCTGAGCCACTGGAGGAATCATGGGTGATGGGGTAACGCGCTTGTCAAAGGAATCTTGAGGGATTAGGGCAGGGGTGAATCATGGGACTGCTGCTGGGTGAGCGCTGGGGAAATAACGCTCGTGTCAAATAAATGCTGAGGGATGAGATGAGGGCATGGGGGATTAATGGATGAGCTCCTTGGGGATAGAAGGGTGTGCGCGGGAGGATGGTTGGTTGAGCGCAGTGAGGATTATTGGTGATGGGTAACGCACGTGTCAGAGGAATGATGAAGGGTGAGGGCAGGGGGGAATCGTGGGTGGGGTGCTTGAAGAAAGATGGTGTGCATTAGGGGACTGTTGGGTGAGCACTGGGGGACTGCTGGGTGAGTGGTGGGAGAATAATGATGGGTTAGTGCAGGAAAGACGAGGGATGAGAGCAAGGGGGAATCATGGGTGAGCTCCTGGGGTGAAGATGAGTGAGCGCGGGGGAAATGTTGGGTGAGCACAGGGGGAATCATGGGTGATGATGGGTAACGCGCGTGTCGAGAGAATGATGAGGGATGAGCGCGGAGGGAGAGGATTATGGGCGACTCCTGAGTCGCCTCAAAAGAGAGTGCGGGGATCTCTTGGGTGAGCGCTGGGAGAGTAATGCATGGGTCAAAGGAATGATGAGTGATGGGCAAGGGGGAATTATGGGTGAGATCCTCGGGGAAAGAGGGGTGAGCGTGGGGGGAAAGAGGGGGTGAGCATGGGGGGAAAGAGGGGGTGAGCGTGGGGGGAAAGAGGGGTGAGCGTGGGGGGAAAGAGGGGTGAGCTTGAGGGGAAAGAGGGGTGAGCGTGAGGAGAAAGAGGGGTGAGCATTAGGGGAAAGAGGGGTGAGCGTGAGGGGAAAGAGGGGTGAGCGTGAGGGGAAAGAGGGGTGAGCGTGAGGGGAAAGAGGGGTGAGCGTGAGGGGAAAGAGGGGTGAGCGTGGGGGGAAAGAGGGGTGAGCGTGAGGGGAAAGAGGGGTGAGCGTGAGGGGAAAGAGGGGTGAGCGTGAGGGGAAAGAGGGGTGAGCGTGGGGGGAAAGAGGGGTGAGCGTGGGGGAAAAGAGGGGTGAGTGTGGGGGGATTGTTGGGTGTGCGCTGGGAGAATCATGGATGCTGGGTAATGCGCGTGTCAAAGGAATGATGAGGGATGAGCGCAAGGGGGAATCATTGGTGAGCTCCTTGGGGAAAGATGGGTGTGTGGGGGTGAGCTCCTTGGGGAAAGATGGGTGTGTGCTTGGTGAAAGGGGGTGAGCTCCTTGGGGAAAGATGGATGTGCTTAGGGGGAATGATGGGTTTAAGGAAAGGGGGAATGGTGAGTGGGGGCATAGGGAAAGACAGGGGAATGATGGGTGATTAGGGGGAAAGACAGGTGATTGTAGGGGGAAAGACATGTGAGCGTTGGGGGAATGATGGGTAAGGACAAGTGGAATGAAGGGTGAGCGGAGGGGAAATGCGGAGGGGGCAGGGGGGATGGGGGTGATCGGAAGGGGAATGAGAGGTAATGGCAGGCGGAATGAGGGGAGAGCGGAGAGGAAATGAGGGTAGTGGCAGCCGGAATGAGGGGTGAACGGAGGGGGAAATAGGGGAAAGGGCAGGTTGCTGATACAGACATATTCAGTATTATGAGGCACCACCTAGTCTAAGAGAGTCAACGCAGCATTTGCAAAAAACAGGGATTGGGGTCACTTCAAGTGGGGGGAACATGAGAAGCTGAGGGGGTTAGGTGGTAGGCACCACATTGCCATGTGAGATTTATCCTCACACAGGAATTCCCTAAATGTGGAATTCTCACACGGGAAGGGATTGATGCAGCACGTTGAGGCATGTAGATGACAGCCATACATCATGTACAAAGCCGACAATAGGTGGGAGGAGAAGGTCAGGAAAGTAAACAACACAGCCCCAGGCTGGAAGCAAGCCCAAAATCGACATGCGCATCCGGGGAATCGAACCCCGGTCAGTACCGTGGGAGGGTACTATGATACCACTACACTAGATGCGCATGTGATCTAAACAATTCCACACAGTTCAATGTATATCTTAGCAGAAGGGTTGACAATGATTCAGACCTTACATGGTGGGAGGCTGAAGACCAGAAACGCGTTTGTCCCCCGAAGCCAAACGAGTTGCTCACGACCTAAGAACATAAACGGTAACAACATTTGACAATGACAGCTCTCATGGGCTTTGGTGGTGCTGCCACCGCTTGTGGCGGTGCTGCTGCTTTCTCTGCCACTGGTGCTGAGCAGAGTAGAAGCGAGTGCTTTGGCAAGACAAGGGAAGAATTCGTCCCTCCAAAGCCAAAGGAGTTACTCATGACAGTTCTCATGGGCTTTGATGCCGCTGCTGGTGGTTCTGATGCTGATGCCTTCAATGTTGCTGCTGCTGCTTTTAATGATGTTGCTGATGCCGCTGCTGATGGTGCTGCACGCGGATTGGGTACCTAAGGGGCTAACCAAGAGGAGGAAGGCCTAAGACCAGGGAAGCGTTTGTCCCGCCGAAGCCGAACGAGATGCTCATGACAGTCCTCATGGGCTTTGGTGCTGCTGTCACTGCTGCTGATGCTGATGCTTCTGCTGCTGCCACTGCATTTGTGATACGAAGGACGAAACTCTAAGAAGGTGGTGGGAGGCCGAAGACCAGGGAAGCGTTTGTCCCTCCGAAGCCGAACGAGATGCTCATGACAGCTCTCATGGGCTTTGATGCCGCTACTGTTTCTGCTGATGCTGCTGCCGATAGAGTGAGTCCAAAACACTAAGCAACGGGTGGAAGCCCAAAGACCAGTGAGGCATTTGTCCCTCCGAAGCCCAACGAGATGCTCATAACAGCTCTCATGGGCTTTGATGCCGCTACTGTTTCTGCTGATGCTGCTGCCGATAGAGTGAGTCCAAAACACTAAGCAACGGGTGGAAGCCCAAAGACCAGTGAGGCATTTGTCCCTCCGAAGCCGAACGAGATGCTCATAACAGCTCTCATGGGCTTTGATGCCGCTACTGTTTCTGCTGATGCTGCTGCCGATAGAGTGAGTCCAAAACACTAAGCAACGGGTGGAAGCCCAAAGACCAGTGAGGCATTTGTCCCTCCGAAGCCAAACGAGTTGCTCATAACAGCCCTCATGGGCTTTGATGCTGCTGCTGCCGTCGGCAGGAAGCTTCCTTGGAAGACAGGATCTGGGTTGACGAGGTTGACATTAGGCGGCACGACGCCCTGTAATGGTTGAGAGAGAGAAGGGAGGGAAGGAATTGGGAAAGTGGGGAGGAGGTTAGCTTCCTTGGAAGACAGGGTCCGGGTTGAAGAGGTTGACATTGGGCGGCACGACGCCCTGAAAAAGTGGGAAGGGGGAAAGCCGAAGGGGGATTAGAGGAGCGTGATTGGAAGGAAGGGAGAAATGGAAGGGTCCGGTTTGATGAGGTTGACATTGGGCGGCACGACGCCCTGTAATGGTTGAGAGAGAGAAGGGAGGGAAGGAATTGGGAAAGTGGGGAAGAAAGGGGAGCGCGGAAAGTTGACACTTGAGCTGACTGAAAGGTCAAAGAGGCTAAAGTTAAAAGGCATCATGCCCTTAAGAGTGGGAGGTGGCAGGTAGGTAGGAGAGGGATAGGAAGTGTGCATGTGAGCAACATGCACAGTACAATGCACCCACATGGTTCATGTAGAGTGCCAGACTCACATGGTGTAGAGCAGCTGCCTCTACCTCCCCTGCAGCCCTGATGCCATGACATTCTATCAAACACTGTGAAGTTCACGTGAGCATCATGCACTGTACAGCGTTACACCCAGATGGTGCACAGCTATGAGAGCAACAGAGTCATAACGGCAACAGCGCCATGACAGCAACAGTGCCATGACAGCAACAGCGCCATGACAGCAACAGCTGCCTCCACTGCCAATGCAGCTTTCATACTGCGTGAGCATGTGAACATCATATGCAGTTCAGGTGCCACACTCACATGGTTCAAGCACAGTGCCACTCACATGGTGCAGAGCCATGACAGCAACAGCTGCCTCCACTGCCAATGCAGCTTTCATACTGCGTGAGCATGTGAACATCATATGCAGTTCAGGTGCCACACTCACATGGTTCAAGCACAGTGCCACTCACATGGTTCAAGCACAGTGCCACTCACATGGTGCAGAGCCATCACAGCAACAGCTGCCTCCACTGCCCCTGCAGCTCCCAACAGATGACCCATCGCTCCCTGCACATGCACATGCACATGCACACGCACACGCACATGCACATGCACATGCACACGCACACGCAGATGAACATGAAGATGCAGGGTGTTTTTGGAAATTCTCATAAACATCTACTGCAACAGCAGCTTCTCCCCTGCAGCCCCCAACAGATGACCTATCGCTCCCTGCCCAAATACAGATCCACACATGCACGTTCACATGCCGCATGCACATGCACATGCACATGCAGATGCACATGCACATGCACACGCACATGTAGGCAAACATTTAGATCCACACATACACATGCACACATGCATACATGCACACATGCACATCCACATGCAAACATGCACACATATAGATATGCACATGCAAACATGCATATGCACATGCATACAAACACACGCACACATGCACACGCACACACACAAAGACACACATGCACATGCACGCATGCATGGCATGCACATGCAAATGCACAAGCACATGCACATGCACAAGCACATGCACATGCACATGCACATGCACAAGCACATGCACATGCACATGCACATGCACATCCACATGCACATGCACATGCACAAGCACATGCACATGCACATGCACATGCACATGCACATCCACATGCACACAGCGCCAGCTTAAAGTATAAGTAAGGATGCGTGTGTACCTTGCTGGAGGAGAAAGAAAGGTCTCCTGAGAGCACATGCTGGTCAAATACAGCCTTTAGCGCCAGTGCTTCTATCTCATCGCCTGCAAGTAAACAATGCAACACACGTGCGAGCATATGTGAGGCGCATATGGGTTGAAAGCAAGGGCTCCTGACAGCACGTGCTGGTCGAAGACAGCCTTTAGCGCCAGTGCTTCTATCTCATCGCCTGTAAATGACAAGTGTGTGGGACGCAAATTGGGATATGTGTGTGAGAGTTGAAGGCAGGTCTCCCTTGCAGAGAGCACGTGCTGGTCAAACACAGCCTTGAGGGCCAGAGCTTCTATCTCGTCGCCTGCAAGTAAGGTAAACAATGCAACAGACATGCGAGAGTATGTGAGGCGCACGAGGGTTAAAAGAGAGGTCTCCTGAGAGCAAGTGCTGGTCGAAGACAGCCTTGAGGGCCAGAGCTTCTATCTCATCGCCTGCAAGAAAACAATGTGAGGAGCGTATTGTGAGGCACATCTGAGTTGCATTGCAAGCACTCAGTGATTTTCACTACTCAGAGTAGTTAGGTCGGTCGAACCGAGGTTGCAGCTTTCTATCTGTTTCCTTCGTTTGAGAGGCACATCTGCGTTGCAAGCAGGCCTCTCTTGCAGCTAGTGCGTGCTGGTGGAAGGAACACTGCTGCTTGAGCGGCTTTTGAGGCACCTTAGAAGTTGAAACACTGCATTGAGAGCGCCAGCAGCGCTTCTTCTACCTCGTCGCCTGCAGGGCGACACGAGGGTCAGTCATTGTGAAGCGCATGGTATGAGGTGCATGCGAGGTGATGGTAGGCACCAGTTGCATGAGCCTGTTGACTTTTGAGTCGACTCAAAAGTCAACTTGAGGTGCATGCGAGGTGACGGTAGGCACCAGTTGCATGAGCCTGTTGACTTTTGAGTCGACTCAAAAGTCAACTTGAGGTGCATGCGAGGTGACGGTAGGCACCAGTTGCATGAGCCTGTGCTGGGCAAACACTGCATTGAGAGCGACAGCACAGCAGTTCTTCTTCCTTCCACCTCGTCGCCTGCAGGGTGCCACGAGGGAGCTCAAAGTTGTGAGCTCACTCAAGGAGCATACGAAGCACATATTGTGAGCTGCCTCGTCGTCTGCAGGGCGACACGAGGGTTATTGTGAGGCAACGGTGAGAGCCGTCTGGTGCGTCACTCAAGGAGCATACGAAGCACATATTGTGAGCTGCCTGTGAGTGCCGTCTTGAGTGAGTGAGCACTCAAGACACATTGGGGTCACAATGTCATAGACTGGAGCGAGGATGGGGAGGATGGGGAGGATGGGGAGGAGAGGATGGGCCGGAGGTAAAACATTAATGGAAGGGATTTGATGCTCACTGATGGAGCGGAGGTGGCATAGGGTTGGCCTTTGAGTTGAGTACTAAAAAATAAAAGGAATGAAAGGGAGGAATTAAAAGGCTAAGAGAAGGGGCTTACTCACCAAGGGGAGTGGAGGTGGCATGGGCATTGAGGTACCCTATATCGGATGGTTGCAGACCAGCCTGCGATAACCAGGGGTGGAGAGAGGTGGAGATTGGTGGAGAGGGAGGAGAGGGTAAAGAGGGGTGCAAAAGGGGTGGAGAGGGGTGAAAAGGAGGGGAGAGGGTGGAGAGGGGTGCAAAAGGGTGGAGAGGTTAGGAGGTATGCAGAGAGACAATGTGAGTGTTGAAGACCATAGAGTGGTAATAAAGGTCAGAGAGAGGGATGTGAAGAGAGAGGGATGTGAGAGGGAGGGACAAAGGAAGAAGAACTCTACCAATGAAGGACCATTTGAAGAATCTATCTTTGACGCTACAGTGGACGACCAACTAACATGGGACCAGCTCCTCCTTAAGAGGAGTGCCAATGAGGTTAAATTGATAACAACAGCAACCTCTCCCTGGCTGAGCCGATAATATTTTTTTCAGCGTTTCAGCGCCGAGCCGATGAGCTGCGCCGGCTCATCTACGGAAGAAGCCTTCCCCTGGCTACGATGCAGACGTACCTACTGGAGCGATCGAGAGTGGTGCATATCTCTGAGCTTGAGTGCAACTACCAAACTGATTTGTTGGTCCAGCAAACCTGTGGACCAACTGGTTTGATGGTAGTTGCGCTCAAGCTCAGAGATATGCACCACTCTCGATCGTTCCAGCAGGTACGTCTGCATCATTGGTGGTCTTCAGAGATTCCCATCATCACATCATACCTGCTTTAGACCACCAGGTCAAATCGTGCCTCCTCGAGAGCAGCACGCATGCAGAGCGCTGCCCCCGTGGCGAGGGGGGCGGCTGTGTGATGTGGAAAGCATCTGCTGAACTGCTATGGGTTGGTTTCAGTGTGATGGTGTTGGTTGTCCCTCCATCATACTGGCTCAAATCATTCCTCATTGAGGGCAGCGCGCATGCACAGCACAGCACAGCACAGCGCCGGTGGCGATAGGGGATGGCTGTGTGATGTGGAAGTCAGTTCTAGGGCAACTGGCAGGTGGAAACAGCACGTGCCTCTGATGGTGCTGATGGTGCTGCTGGTGCTGCTGGTGCTGCTGGTGCTGCTGGTGCTTGCACTACGCACCTCCTTGAGAGCAGCTCGCATGCACAGAACTGCACCAGTGGCCAGGGGAGACGGCTGTGTGATGTGAAAGGCGTCTGCTGAACTGCCGGCTCCTCGAACCTCTGCGTACACCTTTGCACCGCGCTGCACCGCATGGTCTAGGTCCTGAGGGAAGGGGGGTAAGGGAGAGAGAGAGTAAAGGGATGGAGGGGCGGAGGATATGGGCTTGACACCGTGTCACCAACTTGGAGATGCTCTCATCCTTAGAGACTTTTGAGTCGACTCAAAAGTCACTTAGAGAGTAAAGGGATGGAGGGGCGGAGGATGTGGGCTTGACACCGTGTCACCCACTTGGAGAGATGCTCTCGTTCCACTCTCAATCGTTCAACACCCTGGTGGGTGACACGGTGTCAACCCATCTTGTAAAGGCCCTGATTTTCTTACATCCTCCCATACTGACATGCTGACATGCTGACATTCTGAATATTTCACATCCTCACACACTGACGTCCTGAAATCCTGACATGCTGACATGCTGACATGCCAACATCCTGCTTATGCTTGCACCCCTTACCCCCTCCAATCCTCATGCTCCCTCTGAGTACCCACCCACCTCAAGCACCAACACGCCTGCTCCCTCTGCCATTCTGCAGAGAGCAAGGGGAGGGTGCAGTGCAGCAGGAGGGAGGGGAGAAGGTGGCTAAGACGACTAAGTTACAAAGTGCAGGGGGGCAGCAAGCAGGCGGGGGGGGGGGGGGGGGGGGGGAGAGGGGGGGGGGGGGGCAGAAGGAGGAGGCACGTGTTGGGGAGAGATGCAGGCTCAGAAACGAAGGAAGAAAGCTTCGAGAGGCGTGAATGGGATGAGGGTGTGCGAAAAGAAAGGGAATTAGCCATTAAGTGGCAATACGAGAAGGGGGATGGGGAAGGGCAAGGCACGCACACACACGAATCCTTCACTGGACTCGTCAAATGGCCGGGAGGCAAGGTGGGGCGGAAGATGGGGGGGGGGTTGGGAAGTGGTGCACATAGTAATGCAAGAGGAGCAATGGAAGGAGAAACAGGGAAGAGGAGCAACGGGGAATCAACGGAGGCAAGGCACCCACACGAAGCGATCTCTTGACTTGTCAAATGGCCAAGGCGACTTTTAGGTCAACTCAGAAATGCAGGAAGGAGGATGGTAAAGAGGGGTTTGGAAGAGGCCACGCACACGAATCCATCTCTTGACTTGTCAAACGGCCGAGAGGCAAGGTGAGGCGTGTCGTTGAATCGCGTGCTGAGAGCTCGCATGCTGAGGGGAGGGAAGAGAGAGTGAGGCAGAGGGGAGAGAGAAAGAAGATGAGTGGCGTGGCGCAGAGGTAGCAAGGCACTTGTGTTGTGCACCTTCGAGCTGAGGCGTGTCGTTGAAGCACGTGCTGAGAGCTCGCATGCTGACTGGTGGCGGGAGGGGGGATAGGTGGGGTGAGTAGGTGGGGGAGAGGGGGGAAACATGGGTGGATTCACAGTGAATAACAAGGTACGTGTGTACCCAAGCTGAGGCGTGTCGTTGAAGCGCGTGCTGAGAGCTCGCATGCTGGCTGGTGGGGGAGGGGAAGGGGGGGAAGTGTGACACAGAGATAGGCAGCAGCAGCAGCAGCAGAGATAGACATGCGTGTGTACGTTGCAGAAGCAGCAGCAGGTGAGAGGTGGATGGGGGGCAGCAGCGCTTTGCAGGTACAGGGGGTTCAATGCACACTTGTGTGGGAGCTGTCAAGAGAGGACAGGTGGGCTGCGGAGGCCTTACTTCCATCAACTCGTGTTGTTTAGGATAACGACTTGTACAGGGGGTTCAATGCACACTTGTGTGGGAGCTGTCAAGAGAGGACAGGTGGGCTGCGGAGGCCTTAGTTCCATCAACTCGTGTTGTTTAGGATAACGACTTGTACAGGGGGTTCAATGCACACTTGTGTGGGAGCTGTCAAGAGAGGACAGGTGGGCTGCGGAGGCCTTACTTCCATCAACTCGTGTTGTTTAGGATAACGACTTGTACAGGGGGTTCAATGCACACTTGTGTGGGAGCTGTCAAGAGAGGACAGGTGGGCTGCGGAGGCCTTACTTCCATCAACTCGTGTTGTTTAGGATAACGACTTGTACAGGGGGTTCAATGCACACTTGTGTGCCGCCAGCGACAATGACCGTCCCACCCCACCTCCCACCCACCACCCATCCCGCACCACCCGCCTCCCATCACCCACCACCCAACACTCCTCCTACCCACCGTGAGAAGCCAGCGAGGGAGAGGGCGTCGATGCAGGCCTCTGTGCCACCCGCCACGATGACGTCAGCAGCTGTCCCCCCCATGCCCACCATACATCCCGCAAGGCACATTACCCACTGGGAGAAGCCAGCGAGGGAAAGCGCATCAATGCACGCCTCTGTGCCGCCCGCCACGATGGCCGTCCCACCTCCCACCATCCACCCATGGCCCACCCCCCAACACTCCTCCTACCCACCGAAAAGCCAGCGAGGGAGAGGGCATCGATGCAGGCCTCTGTGCCACCCGCCACGATGACGTCAGCAGCCGTCCCCCCCATGCCCACCATACATCCCGCAAGGCACATTACCCACCGGGAGAAGCCAGCGAGGAAGAGGGCGTCGGTGCACGCCTCTGTGCCACCCACCAAGACCATCACCCATCCCCCCCATGCCTCTCATCGCCCCCATTCCCCACCACTCACTGCCCCCGCCACCCACCGTGAGAAGCCAGCGAGGGAAAGCGCGTCGACGCACGCCTCTGTGCCGCCCGCCACGATGACGTCAGCAGCCCCACAGCGGACCAATCGGAAGGCGTCTGCGATGGCATGCGCTGACGAGGCACATGCTGTCACTGAGGCATGATTGGGGCCCTGGTGGGATATGGAAGAGGGGGGGAAGGGAAAGAAGCACACAGGGGAAAATGGAGAAGAGGAAGGAGGTAGCATGGGCTGACGAGGCGCATGCGAACACTGAGGCATGATTGGGACCCTGATGGGAGGATGACAGAAAGGGAGGGAGGAGAGCAAAGAGAAAGGGGAAGAGGGCAGCAGAGGATGGCATGGGCTGATGATTCGCACGATGTCACTGAGGCGAGGTTGGAAAGTGATAAAAGAGATGTTTTGAGACGTCTCAAAACATCTCTTTTGTGACGTCGCACGATGTCACTGAGGCGAGGTTGGAAAGGGAAAGGGAGTGAAGAACAAGGGGGAAAGAGGACGATGGCATGGGCTGGGCTGATGAGGCGCACGCTGGCACTGAGGCTTGATTGGGGGGCCCTGATGAGAGAATAACGAAGGGAAATAATAAGAACAAGAGGGAGCAAGTGAGAAGGGGAGGAAGATGGCACGCGCTGATGACGCACATGTGGTTACTAAGGAACGGTTGGGGCCCTGATGACATGCCTCAGTAACCACATGTCATGACAGATCGAAGATGAAGGAAGGAAAGGGGAAAGGTAAGAAGGCAGAGGGACGAGGGAAGAGGGAAGGGGAGAATAATAAGGAAGAAGAGGGAACGTGGCATGGGCAGATGAGGCACATGGGTGATAAGTCGAGTTTTCAGTCGACTCAAAACTCGACTTATCACACAAGAAGAGGGAACGTGGCATGGGCAGATGAGGCACATGGATTCGTTGCGGCATTTGAGGCGCCTCAAAAGGTTGGGGCCCTGATGGGAGAGTCGAAATGCTTACAGGTAGTCAATCTCGCACCACATACAATCGCCCCACCTTGAGTCATGACTCGAAACATTAGTCAGTATGCACCACATACAATCGCCCCACCTTGAGGAGGTGGCGGATGCTGATGTGCCCTGCCGCCGCCATGCTGATGAGAGTGCTACGAATCTCCAGCTCATCGCCTACAATCACACACACCACACCCATCAGTACAGTCACACCCTTTACAGACACTTCACCCACCTTCAGGCGATGCCGGATGCTGATGTGCCCTGCAGCCATGTTGATGAGAATCCATATGCATTCTACAATCGTTCACAATGCTTAGATGCACACCACATGCGAAACCATCAGGACACACACACACACATCGCGTACAGTCACATCATATACAATCACGTCACATCACCTTGAGGCGGTGGCGGATGCTGATGTGCCGTGCTGCCATGCTGATGAGATGAGAATGCTATTCTCGTCCAACCCTCACCTCCTACAATCACTCACACCACCCATCCATCACAAAAGTCACACCCTTACGAATCACTCCACACACCTTGAGGCGGTGGCGAATGCTGATGTGCCCTGCGGCCATGTTGATGAGAATGCTACGAATCACTCCACACACCTTGAGGCGGTGGCGAATGCTGATGTTCCCTGCGGCCATGTTGATGAGAATGCTACGAATCACTCCACACACCTTGAGGCGGTGGCGAATGCTGATGTGCCCTGCGGCCATGTTGATGAGAATGCTACGAATCACTCCACACACCTTGAGGCGGTGGCGAATGCTGATGTGCCCTGCGGCCATGTTGATGAGAATGCTACGAATCACTCCACACACCTTGAGGCGGTGGCGAATGCTGATGTGCCCTGCGGCCATGTTGATGAGAATGCTACGAATCACTCCACACACCTTGAGGCGGTGGCGAATGCTGATGTGCCCTGCGGCCATGTTGATGAGAATGCTACGAATCACTCCACCCACCTTGAGGCGGTGGCGAATGCTGATGTGCCCTGCGGCCATGTTGATGAGAATGCTACGAATCACTCCACCCACCTTGAGGCGGTGGCGAATGCTGATGTGCCCTGCGGCCATGTTGATGAGAATGCTACGAATCACTCCACACACCTTGAGGCGGTGGCGAATGCTGATGTGCCCTGCGGCCATGTTGATGAGAATGCTACGAATCACTCCACCCACCTTGAGGCGGTGGCGAATGCTGATGTGCCCTGCGGCCATGTTGATGAGAATGCTACGAATCACTCCACCCACCTTGAGGCGGTGGCGAATGCTGATGTGCCCTGCGGCCATGTTGATGAGAATCCGTGGCACGAAGTGCGGCGAGATGCGCCTGGGCTTCTGCTCAGGGAGGAGAGGGGGTGGGGGAGGAAGGGGGTTACACAGAGTCATTACAGGGATTGATTGAAGGATCACATCAGGCAGAGGGTGGAACAGGCGAGAAGAAAGGCAGCCATGGTGATGAGAACCCACGGTGACTTTTGAGTCGACTCAAAAGTCATGGAGATGAGAACCCGCGGTGACTTTTGAGTCGACTCAAAAGGGCGGCGAAATGCGCCTCAGCTGGGCTTCTGCTCAAGGAGGCGGGGGGGAAGGGCACACAGAGAATGCGCGGGCCAAAGGGCGGCGAAATGCGCCTCAGCTGGGCTTCTGCTCAGCGAGGGAGGAAAGGGCGGGGGCAGGCAGAGGATGAAGTGAGAAGCACAGCAGCCATGGTGATGAGAATGCGCGGGTTAAAATGTGGCGAAATGCGCCTGGGCTGGGCTTTAGTTCAGGGAGGCGGGGGTGAAGGGCATAAAGCAAATGCGTCTGCTTTTGAGTCGACTCAAAGGGAGGCGGGGGTGAAGGGCACAAAGCAAATGCGCGGCACAAAGTGAGGCGAGATGCGCCTGGGCTCCTGCTCAGGAAGGAGTGGGGAACGGGGGAAAAGGGGGGATACCCAATCATTTCAAGAAGCATGGCAGGGCAGCCATATTGAGGGAAAAAATGCTTTTGATAACTCTCAGTAGCAGCCATGATGATGAGGCGAATGCGCGAATGTTAGCTGGGGTCATTTCATAAAAAATGGCAGCCTTGATTATGAGAATGCACGGCCCAAAGAGCGGCGAGATGCGCCTGGGCTAGGCTCCTGCTCGGGAGGGAGGAAAGGGGAACCAACTTAAGGTTTTCATATGCGCCTGTGATTCTGCTCCGGAAGGGGTTGGGATGAGAGGGGGGGGGAGGGGGGGAAGGTTACAGGAATCACGACAGCCATGCTGATGAGAATGCTTGGCACAGAGTGAGGGGCCGGGGGGAAACGAGCTGGTTTTTGAGAATTCTCAAAAACCTGCTTGGCACAGAGTGAGGGGCCGGGGGGAAACGAAGCTCAGTTGGAAAAGGTGGTCGGGGTGGGGGAGGACGAGTTTTGGTTTATGTATGGCCTTTTTTTTTTTTTTTTTTCTGGAAAGGGTGTGACCATGAGGGGAGGTATGAGAGTGAGAGAGCAAGTGAAGGGACGAGGGGAGGGAGCAGTGCACGCACCTGCTCCCCTGCTCCCCCCAAAGCACTCACCTGCTCAAAAAGAAGGTGGCCTGCTGCTGCCACTTCGCTGATGCTCCCGATGCCTCCTCTCTCCCCCTACACCCCCCAACTGCCCCATTAAACCCCGACCTCTTTCTCCATTGCACGAACCCCGCCCCCCCCTCCATTGCACTCACCTGCTCAAAAAGAAGGTGGCCTGCTGCTGCCACCTCGCTGATGCTCCCGATGCCTCCCCCCACACACACTCCCTGGGTTAGATAGGGACGAAAACAAAGGAACAGTGATAATGGGGGTGAGGACAGGTGGGGGATGAAGGAGAGGTGCATATCCGTTTAATAAACGCTGCCTGCCTCTGCCACCTGTTGGAGTAGGACGAGTCACCTGCTGGATCCAGGTCGAAACTTTACACGTATATCCGTTTGATAAACGCTGCCTGCCTCTGCCTCTGCCGTTTATTCATAAACGCTGCCTGCCTCTGCCTCTGCCGTTTATTAATAAACGCTGCCTGCCTCTGCCTCTGCCGTTTATTAATAAGCGCTGCCTGCCTCTGCCTCTGCCGTTTATTAATAAACGCTGCCTGCCTCTGCCTCTGCCGTTTATTAATAAACGCTGCCTGCCTCTGCCTCTGCCGTTTATTAATAAACGCTGCCTGCCTCTGCCACCTCACTGATGCTGCCGATGCCTCCTCCCTGGGTGGGGTAGGATGAGGGAAACAGGGGGAATGACAGAAAGGGGCAGAACGAAGGAAACGAGCATATGCCTTCACCAATCCCTGCCTGCTGCCACTCCACTGATGCTGCCAATGCCTCTTCCCACGCACACTCCCTGGGTGGGTGGGACAGGAGTGCATGGGGATACGGTGATGGAAAGGCGGAGGATAAAGGAGGCAGGCATACGCCTTCACCAGTTCCTGCCTGCCTGCTGCTGCCACCACGCTGATACTCCCAATGCACCCCCCCCATACACACTCCCTGGGTGAGACAGGGTGGTAGAATGAAGGGAACGAGCATATGCCTTCACCAGTTCCTGCCTGCCTGCTGCTGCCACCACGCTGATACTCCCAATGCACCCCCCCCATACACACTCCCTGGGTGAGACAGGGTGGTAGAATGAAGGGAACGAGCATATGCCTTCACCAGTTCCTGCCTGCCTGCTGCTGCCACCCCACTGATGCTGCCAATGCCTCCTCCCACGCACACTCCCTGGGTGGGTGGGACAGGAGTGCATGGGGATACGGTGATGGAAAGGCGGAGGATAAAGGAGGCAGGCATACGCCTTCACCAGTTCCTGCCTGCCTGCTGCTGCCACCACGCTGATACTCCCAATGCACCCCCCCCATACACACTCCCTGGGTGAGACAGGGTGGTAGAATGAAGGGAACGAGCATATGCCTTCACCAGTTCCTGCCTGCCTGCTGCTGCCACCCCACTGATGCTGCCAATGCCTCCTCCCACGCACACTCCCTGGGTGGGTGGGACAGGAGTGCATGGGGATACGGTGATGGAAAGGCGGAGGATAAAGGAGGCAGGCATACGCCTTCACCAGTTCCTGCCTGCCTGCTGCTGCCACCACGCTGATACTCCCAATGCACCCCCCCCATACACACTCCCTGGGTGAGACAGGGTGGTAGAATGAAGGGAACGAGCATATGCCTTCACCAGTACCTGCCTGCCTGCTGCTGCCACCCCACTGATGCTGCCAATGCCTCCTCCCACGCACACAGACTCCCTGGTTGAGACAGGGACGAGAATAAGGGCACAGGGAGAATGAGGGCAGGCGGGGGAGAAAAGAGAGGGGCATATCCTGCCTGTCTGCTGCCATAAACACCTCCACTGATGCTGCCGTTGCCTCCCCCACCACACAGACTCCCTGGTTGAGACAGGGACGAGAATAAGGGCTCAGGGAGAATGAGGCAGGTCTGTCATGTCATCCACCGTGCATTCATCATGGCTTCATCAGCTGCTCTTATTGCCCACCCTCAACCCGTCCACATGTCCCTACGCCGCCCGACTGTGCCCTTCTATCCCATCAATCTCACCGTTCTCACACGGTCCTCCTCCTCCTCCGGCATCCATCCACTGCGCATCCATCTCATCAGCTGCTGCTTACAGCCAGCCCCACAAGGCACACAACCCGTCCACACACCACATGTCCCTACGCCGCCCGACTGCGCCCTTCTATCCCATCAATCTCACCGTTCTCACGCGATCCTCCTCCTCCTCCGGCATCCACCGCGCATCCATCATGGCTTCATCAGCCGCTTACAATGCACACAGCTCTTCCACCCCACATGTCCCTACGCCAAACTGTGCCCCTCTAATCCATCACTCTCACCGTTCTCACGTGGTCTTCCTCCCAAAACTCCCCCTCTGGCATCCACCGCGCATCCAGCATGGCTTCATCAGCTGCTCACAGAACAGAGCACGCAGCCCTTCCACACCACACCTTTTCAGGCGCCTCAAGACTTTTGAGGCGACTTTTGAGGCGCCTCAAAAAGCAGCCCTTCCACACCACACCTTCATACCCCAGACTGTGTAACTCTGTTCCGTCAATCTCACCGTTCTCACACGATCCTCCTCCTCCTCCGGCATCCACCGCGCATCCAGCATGGCTTCACAAACCGAGGCATGCCCTCCAACCCCCCACCACCTGCAGCAGCACCAGCACCACCATCAGCACCATCAGCACCATGCACTCACCATTCTCACGTGATCCTCCTCCTCCTCCGGCATCCACCGCGCATCCATCATGGCTTCATCAGCCGCTCTTATTGCATGTCTCCCACACTCACAGCACAGCATAGCCTTTGTCCCAACGCCAGACTGCTATCGACACTCACCGTTCTCACGCGATCCTCCTCCTCCTCCGGCATCCACCGGGCATCCATCATGGCCTCATCAGCCGCTCTTATTGCATGCTGCACAAACCGAGGCATGCCCTCGAGACCTGATTTGTCTCCTTCCACCCCAGCATGAGCAGCAGAAGGACTGTCGGGACGGTCATTAGCAGCAACAGGTGGTGCAGGAGGGGCAGGAGGAACAGGAGGGACAACGCCGGCAATGCGAGAGGGGAGTTGGGAGAGCAGAGCAGCGGCGAGGCTGTCTGTCATGCCGGGAATGGCTATGTCCGATGGGGTCAGGGCGCGGATGGCGCTGTTTCCACCAATCAGGCGCTGCCACGTGGCAGCGGAGCCGACGCCAAGAGGGGTGACCATGCCAATGCCTGGCGAGGGGAGGGGGAGGGGCGGGAAGGGGGCGTGGAGAGAAGGGGAGGGGGAAGAGAGGGGAGAGAGGGGAGCGCAGAGAGAGGGGAGAGCAGACGTCTCAAAAGGAGGAGGCACAACACAGGGCATGTGAGATGGGAGAGAAGGCAGCTGGGAGAGCAGAGCAGCGGCGAGGCTGTCTGTCATGCCAGGAACGGCTATGTCCGATGGGGTCAGGGCGCGGATGGCGCTGTCTCCACCAATCAGGCGCTGCCACGTGGCAGTGGCGCCCATGCCGAGAGGCGTCACCATGCCAATGCCTGGGGGAAAGGGAGAGAGGGGGAGAGGGGGAAAGATGGGGAGAGAGATGGGAGGGAGGGGAGAGAGGGGTTCAGGTTAGGGCTCGGGTTGTTACTATAGACCATCGCAGGTATCGCAATCAGCGGGAGGGGCGTACTTGTGACAGCGACCCGCAGTTGCGGCACGGGAAGGGGAGGTGGCATCTGGGGCGGGCAGGCCCGCGTCCTGGTCACCACCAAATCACCTGAAACGGCCCTGAGCTGAAAGAATCGCAGTCAGGGAGGGAGGGGCGTACCTGTGACTACAACCCGTCTTTGCAGCACGGGAGGGGGAGGCAGCATCTGGGGCGGGCAGGCCCACGTGCTGGTCACCACCAAATCGCCTGAAACGGCCCTGAGCTGAAAGATTCGCAGTCAGGGAGAGAGGGGCGTACCTGTGACAACGACCCGCCTTTGCGGCACAGGAGGGGGAGGCGGCAGCTGGAGGAGGTCTTTGTGCTGCGGTAATGGCTGATGCGGGGGGCGTGCAAACGGGGACGATGGTGGTGCCGCGGTGCTCGTGGAAAACGGACGGACGGAGTGAGGGGAGGAGTGAGGTGACAGGGAATGAGGGGAAGGGGAGTGAGGGAGGGACGAGTTCAAAGATTTGGCGGCTGCTGTGGAGGGATTTGAGGAATTTGAATTCTCAAACTGGCGGGAAGAAGACGAGAGCACGCGAGACGATTCCTGTGCCAACGCGGATCCAGAAACGGCTAAGAGTGCTGCTGCTGCAGAATGGACGGCTGAGATGAGCGCTGGATGGACACTGGCGACGGGATACAGGGAACGAGCGAGGGACTGGAGAACGCCGCTGTGAATGGCCATGGTGGAAAGTGTGCAAACTGGATCACTTCGGTTCAGAACTCGAGAGATGTGGGATGGCGAACGTAGAAGATAGGGAAGATTTGCCTTGATAGGTGGGATATTGAAAGAATGCGCTGTGCGCCTGAGCAAAAAAACTCCACATATGAAATACGCTGACAACGAAACGCGGATGAAATACCGTATACTACCGTCCACACGAAGATGCCGCGTCGACTGAGCTAGCCGAGACAACCAGCACTAGAATCTACCTGCTGTCGTCACGTTATCTGGACGATTTCTTTCTCATGCTTTCTCTTCCATCCTTCCACCGCACTCATACTCGTTATTGGCGCCAAAGAGTATTGTTACACTGGAACTGGGTGTACTAGGCAATACCAACACTTCCAAACTCTACTGAGTGGAGCAATGTATCAAACAAGTACCTTGCAATAGTCTCGGAAGATGGGACAAATCTGGTGCTCTCAAGTGACAACTAAACTTTCCCAAGCATACATGTCCGTCAATAACAGATGCAGCTAAGTAGAGGTGCAATACAGGAACCGAGAGCATGCTTGTTTTGCCCTTTCGGCCAGTAAATTATGTACAAGAAACAAGCTCCATCATATACTTCTGACAGTCTTAAGGTTGTGGCTACGTGTGAATTTTATCAAGGGTAAAGGAATCCACGACGTCTTGCACCTCTCGTATAATCTTCCGTGCGTCTTTTCCAGACAGTTCATGACTTCTGAAAAGGCTCTCAGCATCCGGAACATCTTGTGGTTGTTGCAAACCGCAAGCTAATAGTAGAGCAAACTCTTTGGATTCCTGAAAAGCAGTACGAAGAGCCATTAATTGGCCTGCTTGGCTTGAAATGAAGCATTGTACCAGAGAAATAGGTCTTACCGCAGCAATGTCTTTCGCGTAATCCTGCTGGTGTTGTCGGCTATCAAGTTGCGACGAGGACACGATATCCTCTACTCTGACGGTGATTCTTTCCTCAACCTGACAGATAAAGCCATTACAAAACGTTTAGAAAATGAAGACACGAAAGTTCGTAGCAGAAAGTTGGGTCGACGCTTTTGCTCATAACACCTTGTCAAGATCGTGAAGAAGGTCAAGGGGTGCACGCCGGCGAGCACGTCTAAGCCGAATCTCCTTGTCCGCAACCTGGTTTCCAACGGAAACAATGGGAGAGGGTTCATTGTGAAGAACCGTCGCTGGGGAAGTCATCCACGGGGATTGTTGACAAGGAGAGCTCTCGACGGCATTTTGAGCATCTCCTTGCGAACTGTTAATGCGTCCTCTCGGAGAAGAACAGTCAGACTCTCTGTCGACATAAATGGTAGCACTTCTACGCTCGCGAAGACCAGATGATGAAAAGGCTTGGGAATCAATGGAAGGTTGAGAAACAGCCTGATAATTTGCAAACGAGTCGATCATGTCAGACTCTCTGTCGACATTGATCGCAGCACTCCTACGCTGGCGATTACCACACGAAGAATCCATGAATGGATAAGGAACTGAGAAATCGCAAGAGAGTCGAAGTATGAAACGACTAAGCAGACAAGTGGGATTGAAAACTTTGAATAAGGGGGTCTGTCATCAGCATTTATGATCGGAAGAAATGAAAGCATGATTCTGCCTCACACAGATGTCGAAAACATCGGACTCGCTCGAAGACGCAATCTGCGAATTCCTTGCACATTCAGTTCACACAGCCAAGCTGAATTTCGGCCAGGGGCACAGCTTTCCCCAACCGAACCTCGCCAAAGCCAGGTCTGGAGAACTGCTGTTCCCAACCAGACCCAAATTTGGCGCAAAACCAGTTTCACGGGTACGGGATGCCATTCGAGTCGAAAGGTTCGGATTCAGTCGAGGCTTGAACCATGAGCCGAATTTTCCGTGATACACACTGTACCCCAAAATAGTAGAACGACAACTAAACAATACCATATAAATGGAATCAGCATTATTTTGACAATCCTTACTTCCTGATGACAACAGAAACTCTTAAAGAATAAAATTTCATTAAACAAATATAATTATCATGTAAATAAAATCATTAATATATATTAACGTGCTTTAATATTAATGTGTATAGTAAATATTTCTGTAACTTCATTCATGAAAGTAGAATCCCAGAATTCGTTTCTGTAACAATTTTCCAGCAATGGGAACCTTTTTATGGAGGATGAACTCCCCCATTGTGCTCGACGAGAGTTCTAGTAGGTCGTACTCGATCGGAGGACCAAGCATATATTTTCCAGCACACGCGTGGTTGCTCCCGATCCGTGCGAAACTTGGCGCGACACGACTGGTTGTCGCCCCTCCCGCCAATAGCATGGCGGCGCCGTCGTCTCTGCTCCGAGCGGGCTTCAGATCCGCGCGAGACGCGCTGAACTGCGGCGAGAGATGCAGGATCCCAGTGTCTGCGTTACAGGTGCTGCGCATTAAGACACACCATAACATATTTTTGAGTTACAATGTAACAGCAATCGTGAAAGTGTCAGTGTCTGTGAAATCTCATACTCGTGGTTTCAGCTGCAACGTAAGACACACCGTGTCCAAAGTTACATCGTAGCAGTGTCCCAATCTCCAAGGTCTAACCGTGCAAGGCATTAGAAAGGATAGATTCGCATCAAAACCGCGCGACACAAACGGGCTGAGGTTTCTCGACCCGACCTCAGTTGTTCATTCAACGGTCCCACCCTTTCTTCCCGCAGGTTTCGGCTTCGGACTGCCGGTACTTTCTTCCCACGGGCGAAACAGCGGCTCGAGCCTCAGAGCGCGCCGAGTTCAGCCCTGAAAGTGGCAGTTCTGTCGGAGAACTGACGTTTCTCAGTTATTTATTCAACGGTCAACTTGCCCCTCCTCTCACCCCATTCCAGCTTCAGGCTGCTGGGCATCTCTTCCCGCAGGCGCTACAGCAGCTGCGGCCCTCCGAGCGCGCCGAGTTCAGCACTGAAAGTGGCGGCGCCGCAGGGGAAGCGGCGCTTTGAGTTGACTCATGAGTTGACATGCCCCTCGTCCCACCCCTTTTCCAGTTTCAGGCTGCTGCCGGAAATTTCTTTCCGCGGACGCTGCAACAGCTCCAACAACCCTCCGAGTGCGCCGACTTCAGCACTGAAAGTGGCAGTGCTGCTGGGGAAATGGCGTTACCAGCACATAACTCTGTTACCATGCCTCCATCTTTTGATGCTAGGGCTGCTGATGCTGCCGTTGCTGCAGCAGCTGCTTCAAGCGGTGCTGCTACAAGTGACGCTGCGTCGAGCGGTGCTGCGGCGGTGACGAGCGGTACGGATGGGTCTCGTGCGGTGCTGGCGAAGCTGCTCAACGTGCCCCGCATGGTGCTCAAGGAGGAGCTTCTGCGATCCTTCTGCAACCCTGCGCTGACGTCAGCGGACGTGTTCACTGTGCTGGATGATCGGCTGCACACTCTGCACTGGTATGGAGGATGCAGTGCGGTGTGGCGGTGCGGTGAGGTGCGGTGTGGTGCAGTGCGGTGTTGTGTGGTGTGGTGCGGTAAGGTGTGGTGTGATGTGATGGGTTGCGGTGCTGTGCGGTATAACGGATTCGACTTGGTGCTGGCGAAGCTGCTCAATGTGCCCTGCATGGTGCTCAAGGAGGAGGTTCTGCGATCTGGTGGGGCACGGTGCTGGGTGGTACAAAAGGGTCTGGAATCTCGTCTGCTGCTCAACGTGCCCCGCATGGTTCTCAAGGAGGAGGATCTGAGATCCTTCCGCAACCCTGCGCTGACATCAGCTGACGTGTTCACTGTGCTGGACGACAGGCTGCACACGCTGCACTGGTATATTGTAGTATGGTGCGATGCGGTGTGGTGCGGTACGGTGCGGTGAGGTGAGGTTCAGTGTGGTGCAATAAGGTCCGATATGGTGGAATGCGGTGCTGGGTGGTATAAGCGGGGGTGGAATCTCGTCTGCTGCTCGCTGACGTCAACCGACGTGTTCACTGTGCTGGACGACTGCCTGCACACGCTGCACTCGTATGGTGTGGTGTGGTGAGGTGTGGCATGGTGGGGTGCTGCGGTGCAGTGTGGCGTGGCATGGTGTGATGTGGTGCAGTGTGCTGTGGTATGGTATGGTGGGGTGTGATATGGTGTGGTATGGTGGGTTGTGAGATGGTGTGGATGCTGGGCTGTATAAGGGGGTGTGGAATCTCGTCCGGTGCTGCCCCGCCTGGTGCTCAAGGAGGAGGTTCTGTGGTGAAACTCGAAAGGTACTCAACCTTCCGCAATGCTGCGCTGACGTCAACCGACGTGCTCACCGTGCTGGACGACCAGCTGCACACGCTGCACTGGTATGGTGCGGTGCGATGTCGTGCAGTGTGTTGTGGTGTGGTGCGATGTGATGGGGTGCGGTGCGGTGGTGTGGTGTGGTCATGTGGTGTGGTTTGGTGGAATGATAGGGGTTGCAGCATGGTGTGGTATGATGCTGTGGTGTATGTGTTGTAATGATGTTATATGATGGAATATGGTGTGGTATGATATCATGGGGGACGGTGTGATGTGGTGGGGATGGTGTGAGTTGATGTGTCATGTGGCGGTGTGTGATGTTTTATCATAGGTATGGTGTGATATGATTGGGTATGTTGTGATATGGTGGATTATGCTGTGATATGCTGGGTGCGGTATGGTGATGCAGTGTGGTGCGATGCGATACAATTAGCCGAGAGTGGTGAATTAATGCGGTACGGTTTGGTAAGATACAGTGCAGTATGGCGATGTGTCATTGTTTGCTTTAACTGTGTTGGATGATTGGTTGTGCGCACTGCACTGGTGGGTGGGTGGACGGTGTGGTGTTCGGTATGGTGTGGTGTAATGGGGTCCGTCCGGTATAGGGATTTGATGTGATACGATGCAATGTGATACGATGCAATTTGATGTGATATTATGTGATGTTGTGTTGTTGTTCAGTTGGCTCCCTTGATGGCAAGCAGCATACCCGCAACTGGTAGGTGACTTGAGTGGTGTGCTATGGTGTGGTGCGGTGCTGTGCAGTACGCATGATACGCTACAGTATACTGATGTGGTGCAACATTTTCACCGGCCTCTATCTGCCTTTATCTCCCCGTTCTCTCCTCTCCTCTCCTCTCCTCTCCTCTCCTCTCCTCTCCTCCCCTCTCCTCTCCTCTCCTCTCCTCTCCTCTCCTCCCCTCTCCTCTCCTCTCCTCTCATCCCCGATACAGGCAGATGGAGTTCAAGTCACCAGTTCAAGGCTCGGGAGCTCGTGGAGCTTCACAAGAGGGAGGACGGGGGGGACAGCCCCGGATGCAGCTCACGCAGCTTCACAGCAGGAGGGGGGCAGCCCACGAATTATTCCTTTATCTCACCCTGCTCTTTCTGCTCTGCTCCTCTCATCCCCGATACAGGCAGATGGAGTTCAAGTCACCAGAAGACTACAGCAAGGCCCGGGAGCTCGTGGAGCTTTACAAGAGGGAGGGCTCGCGGATACGCCTTCAAGAGGTGCGTTCTTCTGGGGGAGGTGGTAACTGTGTATTTGCGGGAGAACAGTGGGTAGGGTAGGGTTTGATTCGATCGACTCAACACGGCCAGAGAGCTCATGAAGGTTTATAAGAGGGGGGGCTCGCGGATCCGCTTCCAGGAGGTGTGTTCTGGGGGCAGTGGTAGCTGTGTATGTGCTCTACGTGCGGGAGAAGGGTGGGGGGAGGGGAGGGGTGGGCAGGAGTGGAGGGCTTGTGGTGGGGGGATCGCGGATGCGGCTCCAAGTGGTGCGTTCTGGGGGAGGTGCTAGCTGCGTTGGGGTGTGGGGCAGTGGGGGAGAGGGTTTGAGTCGATTCACCAGGTGCGTCCAACTGGGGGGGGCTCCCAGGTGCAACTCCCTTGGGTGCGTGCGTTCTGGGGGCGGTGCTGCTAGCCGTGTGCTTGCAGGGGTCACTTTAGAGAATTCTCAAGGGTGGTTGAGTGGGGAAGTTCTGCGCAGAACAAGTTGGACCACGTCACCACGTCTTCAAGCTCTCAAGCTCTCTCCAAAAGGCCGGGAAGCGTAGCATGGGCTCTCTCTTGTGCTCTTTCAATGTAGCATGGGCGTCTTGAGAGCCTGAGAGCTTGAGAGCTTCAATGTAGCATGTGCTCTCTCATGCTCTCTTAGGTCCTGTCCTGATACTAGGAGTTTCCAGTGTCAGGTGATTTGTTAGTCGATTCAGAAATCACCTTAAGAGGCATGTGTCGCCATGTCCTGGTATGGCAAAGTAACATAGCCGATATGGAATTCATGCTATTAGTTTTCGGTTTCTCTCTCTCCCTGCCGTTTCATGTGTCCATTGGTCCGCCGCCACCCCCGCCTCTGTCGAACTCTCCTTGTCATTGAATAAACAAGGCATTACAGATGTGTATCAGCAAGGCCTCCCCCTCCCCCTCCCCCTCCCCCTCCCCCTCCCCCTCCCCCTCCCCCTCCCCCTCCCCCTCCCCCTCCCCCTCCCCCTCCCGCTCCCGCTCCCGCTCCCGCTCCCGCTTTCGCTCGCAGTTGTCTCCCAGGGACCACGAGCTGGCGTTCCACAAGAGGCATCACAACGCCTCATGCCTGTTAGGGCTGCTAGACTATCAAGTGCCAGTTGCCCCCCTCTCCCTCTGCCTCTCTTTTCCTCTGCCTTCGCCCAGTTGTCTCCCAGGGACCACGAGCTTGCGTTCCACAAGAAGCATCACAACTGGGAGCTTCGCCACTGGAGAGATGTCTCAGTGAGCTGCTTTCCTCCCGCTTGCTGCCTGCTGCTTGCTGCTTGCTTCTTGCTGTGTTTGCCACTTGCTGCTTTCTTCTTACTAGCTGCTAATTACCACTTTGCTCTGTTTTCCCCTTGCTGCGTGCCGCTTGCTGCTGCCTTATTGCTGCTTGGTGCTGTTGTGTGCTTCTTGCTCCTTGTTGCTTGCTGCTTACTCTTTTTGCTGCTTTTGTCAAGACTCCCTTTCAGTTTGAAACTTCAACACTGTATCTCCCAATATGATAATCTGTTGATTAGGAGACAATTCTAGAGGCGCCTCAAAACTCCTCTCGGGATGAGAAGAGCGAGTGAGGGGATAAGACTTTTGAGACGTCTCAAACGGAGCCTTAAAACTCCTATGATGATGAGAAGAGTGAGGGGATAGGCCAACTTGTTGACCACTGCTCCTCCCCCTCGTCGTAGCCCCTCTGACTGCCTCTCTTGCTGAACCTCCCCTCTCGTTCCCGGCTGCCTCTCTCCGTTTCACCCTCCTCCTCCTTTATGTCAACCCCTCTGAGCTCATTATGATGGGGTTGCCTCACCGCGTCTGTCTTCCCTCGCCCCTTATTCCGTCACCCTCGCCCCTCCGCCACCAACTCTCACCCCTCACCCCTCACCCCTCGCCCCTCATCCATCACCATGTCTGTCTTTCCATCCGCTTTCATATCGTGAGGCAGCCTCATCATAATGAGCTTAGAGGGTTAGGCATAAAGGGAGGAGGAGGGTAAAACTAAGAGAGGCAGCAAGGCACGAGAGAGGGGGTTCAGCAAGAGAGGCAGTGAGGGGGGCTGAGGCGAGGGGGATGAGCAGTAGTCAAAAAGCGTGTTTTTTTAGAATTCTCAAAAAACACGCTCGGCGAGGGGGATGAGCAGTATGCCAGTAGTCAAAAAGCTAAAAAGCTGGCCCATCTTCTCATCTCAGTAGTAGAACACAGCGCCTCCCTCAAACCCCTTTTCTCTATCTGCCTCTGTCCGTCTCTCCTCAGCCCCGCTTTTTAACTCGTCATGACTAGCCTCCCAGGTGATGTGAAGTCTATATGTTGCACCCAGCCTCTCTGCCTTCCTCTCTTGCCCCATCCGCCTCTCTTTTTTTCCCTCTCCATTCCCTTCCCCCCTTCCTGGTTCCCCTCTCAGCTGATCATGACAGGGTTACCAGATGACGTGGTGACGGACGACATATAGCAGTTCTTTGAAGGCTACATGCTCCACCCGCCCTCTCTGTGTGCCCTTCCCTCTCTCCCACATGATGTCAAAAGGGACGACATAGAGCAGTTTTTTTTAGGACCACATGCTGCACCGCACCCACCCGTCCCTTCTCACCTCCACCTCTCTCTGTCTGTCTTCGTTCCTCTTTCCTCACCCCTCTCAGCTGATCATGACAGGGTTGCCAGACGATGTCAAGACGGACGACATAGAGCAGCTCTTTCAAGTCCACATGCCGCACCCGCCCTCTCTGCCTTTGGTGTATCTCTTCCTCCCTCTCCATTTCCTCAGCTCATCCTGACAGGCCTCCCAGACGATGTCAAGACGGACGACATAGAGCAGTTCTTTGAAGACTACATGCTGCACCCGCCCGCCGTGTACCACGTCAGGATGTGAGTCTGCCACGTCAGGATGTGAGTCTGCCACGTCAGGATGTGAGTCTGCCACGTCAGGATGTGAGGCTGCCACGTCAGGATGTGAGTTTGCCACGTCAGGACGTTAGTTTGCCACGCCAGGATGTGAGTGTGCCACGCCAGGATGTGAGTTTGCCACGTCAGGATGTGATAATCCCATTCCCCTCTTCCTTCTCCCCTTCTCCGCTTTATTACCCCTTCTACGCTTCTCCCCCATCTTGCCTTCTCCTGCGTGCTCCTTCCCCCGTCCCTCCCCCCCCCTTTCTCCTTCCCCATGGCAGAGAACGGAGAGGATTCCCCACCCCTATGCGGCTGTGCATGAACGGGGAGACGCAGCCGATAGTGGACCTCGCGGAGCGCCGTGGGTAATAACCCGCTCTCTGTTCCCTCTCTTCCATGTCTCCTTTCCCCATCTCCAGAGAACGGAGAGGCGTCCCCACGCCCATGAGGCTGCGCATGAAGGGCGAGACGCGGCCGATAGTGGACCTCATGGAGCATAAGGGGTGCTGCTCTCCTCTTTGCCTTGCCCCATTCCCCTCTACTCCCTCTCCCTTCATATGGCAGAGAACGGAGAGGCGTCCCCACGCCCATGAGGCTGCGCATGAAGGGCGAGACGCGGCCGATAGTGGACCTCATGGAGCATAAGGGGTGCTGCTCTCCTCTTTGCCTTGCCCCATTCCCCTCTACTCCCTCTCCCTTCATATGGCAGAGAACGGAGAGGCGTCCCCACGCCCATGAGGCTGCGCATGAAGGGCGAGACGCGGCCGATTGTGGACCTCGTGGAGCGCCGTGCCGTGGTGCGATTCGCCAATCAGCTGGAGGCGCTGAGAGCGCTGAGGGAGAAGCACCGGGAGTTTGTGGGGGATAGGATGGTGGAGCTCAGCCTTCTACAGTGATGCTGTTCTAGGTTGAGTCGAAGCACGTAGAAGAAGATTAGTGGAGCGCCGTGCTGTGATGCAATTCGGCAGCCAGTTGGAGGCGCTGAGAGCGCTGAGGGAGAAGCACCCGGGAGTTCCTGGGCGATTGGATGGTGGAGCTCAGCCTCTTACAGTGATTTCTGTAATGGGACAGCTCGATGATAGCCTTCCCTTAGTACAGTCGCACGGGCTGGCAATCAGTGGAGGCGCGGAGAGCTCTTAGAGAGAAGCACCGGGAGTCCGTGGGCGACCGGATGGTGGAGCTCAGCCTTCTACAGTGATTACCGTGTGAGACACATTCATATCAGAAACCAAAAATTGCAGTTAGAGGGAGTACCCCCGCCAAAGCTACTTACCCATTCAGAAACCGTATTTCCAGCGACGCGCGCGCACACACGATGCTCGGTTTGCAGTGGCATGCATCCTTCGCTGGGCGAGCTGCTTAGTGTCCAGAAGGTGCTGTCTTTGTGCAATTTGATACACAGCGATCAGCGTTACTGGTACCAGTACTTCAATGCAATGCAATGCACCATTCAATGCTACTCTGCAGCAATCGCTTTCTGAGAACCAATCAATCGTCCTGGTATGGTACTGTAGTACTGTGGTAGTAACCTTCGGCGAAAGGGCAGGGAGACTGCACACTTGGGTGGTTGTTGTCGTTCGAAGTGTACCAGCTTGAAAAATGGATACGGTACCGTACCACTGTAATTTCTGGCTTGTTTTTGAGTCGACTCAAAAATATGGATACGGTACCCCACTGTACCTAATTTCTGGCTTTAAAGCATAACTTTCACTTACGGTACAGAAAAGCCTTTAGTCAGAGTACAGTGGATACTGCACACGAATGGTAGAGAACCACATGAGCTGCGGCTGCCAGCCCGCTTTAATCTCATCTACACTCCTACCCGCATCTACACCCTTTCTCAAACTGTCACTACCAGCAAGCTTGTCAATCCAAAAGGGACCAGTGGGAGAGGTGGTGGGGCTATTGTTGCGCCAGTGGAAGTGGGAGGGGTAGAGGGAGCGAGAGGTGGTGAGGTGTGGAGGTAATGTAATGACTCAAATTCATAAGCTTCCCATTCATATATCACTACCGTATCAGTCAGTGTACAGCAAGTACTGTGCTCTAATGGTCGAAAACCACATGAGCTGTGGTTGCCAGCCTGCTTTAATCTCATCTACACTCCTACCCGCATCTACACCCTTTCTTAAAGTATCGCTCCCGGCAAGCTTGTCGATCCAAAAGGGGCCGTTGGGGGAGTTGGTGGGACTGTCGTTGCGCCAGTGGAAGTGGGAGGGGTAGATGGTGCGAGCGGTGATGAGGAGGATGAGAGCGAGACGGAGAGGATCAAAGGCAGCAGGGTCGGTGATATGAATCTGGGGAGGGGAGTGGGGACAATGGGAGCAAACAGAGACAAGGAGAGGGTTGTGATTGGGTGAGAAGGGGTTGAATGCATCTACACCCTTTCTCAAACTGTCACGTGTAAAAAGGGTATTTTTGAGACGTCTCAAAAATACCCTTTTTACACGATTGGGTGAGAAGGGGTTGAATGCATCTACACCCTTTCTCAAACTGTCGCTACCGGCAAGCTTGTCGATCCAAAAGGGGCCGTTGGGTGAGTTGGTGGGGCTGTCGTTGCGCCAGTGGAAGTGGGCGGGGTAGAGGGAGCGAGCAGAAGAGAGGAGGATGAGAGCGGGACGGAGAGGATCGAAAGACGCCGGGTCTGAGGAGGGGGTCGGTGGCGTGGATCAGAGGAGGGGGAGTGGGGAGGGGTCGGTGGCGTGGATCAGAGGAGGGGGAGTGGGGAGGGGTCGGTGGCGTGGATCAGAGGAGGGGGAGTGGGGAGGGGTCGGTGGCGTGGATCAGAGGAGGGGGAGTGGGGAGGGGTCGGTGGCGTGGATCAGAGGAGGGGGAGTGGGGGGAAATGGAAGCATCTTTTGAGGCGCCTCAAAAAGCGAGACGGAGGGGATCGAAAGACGCCGGGTCGGTGACGTGGATCTGCGGAGGGGGATCTGAGGAGGGGGATCTGAGGAGGGGGATCTGAGGAGGGGGATCTGCGGAGGGGGATCTGAGGAGGGGGATCTGCGGAGGGGGATCTGAGGAGGGGGATCTGAGGAGGGGGATCTGAGGAGGGGGATCTGAGGAGGGGGATCTGAGGAGGGGGATCTGAGGAGGGGGATCTGAGGAGGGGGATCTGAGGAGGGGGATCTGAGGAGGGGGATCTGAGGAGGGGGATCTGAGGAGGGGGATCTGAGGAGGGGGATCTGAGGAGGGGGATCTGAGGAGGGGGATCTGCGGAGGGGGATCTGAGGAGGGGGATCTGCGGAGGGGGATCTGAGGAGGGGGATCTGAGGAGGGGGATCTGAGGAGGGGGATCTGAGGAGGGGGATCTGAGGAGGGGGATCTGAGGAGGGGGATCTGAGGAGGGGGATCTGAGGAGGGGGATCTGAGGAGGGGGATCTGAGGAGGGGGATCTGCGGAGGGGGATCTGAGGAGGGGGAGTGGGGGGAAATGGAAGCAAAGGGGAAGATAGAAAGCAGGATCTGGACGAGAGGGGATGGCACTGGGCCAGTGGAAGTGGTGGGGGGAGGGGGGTAGGGGGAGCGAGCGGTGGTGAGGAGGATAGGAGCGAGACGGAGAGGATCGAAGGAGGATGGATCGGTGACATGGATCTGGGGAGGGGAGTGGGGTGGAGGGGGATAAGAAAATTTGGGGGAGGGAGAGAGAAGTAGTGAGGATATCGTTGCACCAGTGGAAGTGGGAGAGGTCCAGGGAGCGAGCGGTGGTGTAGAGGGCGAAAGCGAGATGGAGAGAATCGAAAGCAGGGTCGGTGACATGGATCTGGGGAGAGGGTGGAGAACAAGGGAGCAACGGGGAAGTGAGAGTTGGATATGGGGAGCGGAGTGGGAATGGGGGGTGCCATGAGTGCCATGAGAGAAGGTGAGGGTTGCGAGTGGTGAAATGGATAGGGTAAAGAATGGCGATAACAGACATCCGTTGTCACACTGCTGCGAATTTGTATTCTTGATCCACAATAGAAGGGCAGAAGTGCTAAAGCGTTACAAACCTGCTGTTATTATCACATTTTGTTTACTGTTGATCCTTTTGCTAAAGCGCTCTCTTTAGTACTGCTGCACTTCTATTATGAGTCAAGAAGACAACAGACGCCCATTGTCGTACTCGTACTGCTGCTGAGACAGCTCACCTCAATCCCACACACTTGCTTTCCAGAGTATTTCCCGGCAACAGGAGAGAAAAAAGCCTCTCGGATGGGCACATCCTCAATCCCACACACCCCGGGCACCGTTGATCCCAGGTACTGCTGCCACTCACCTCGATACCACACCTCGATACCGCACCTCGATACCGCACACTGTTTTGAGAGAACCACTCACCTCGATACAGCACCTCGATACCGCACACTGTTTTGAGAGAACCACCCAGGTAAAAGCTTCTCAATCTGTTTTGAGAGAACCACTCACCTCGATACCGCACACTTGTTTCCCAGAAAATTTGCCGGCAACAGGAGAGAAGTAGGCCTCCCTGATGGCACACCCTGGGCACCGTTGATCTCGCACTGCCTGAGCAAATCGATGGTCCATAAATGGAGCTCCGATCTGGGTGGAAGGCAAGGGGGAGGAGTGCAGAAAACGAAGGACAGAGTGAGGTGGGATGAGAAGGGAGGGGGAAGAAGAGGGGGAATGAAGGGAAGGGTGCTGCGATCTGGGTGGAAGGCAGGGAGGAGAAGCTTTTTTAAAGACTGATCAGTAATGGGAACACATGGCAAGGACAGGGTTGAGATGCCTTTTCGAGGACTTTTGAGACATCTCTAACGATTTTCAAACATCAGTTCGCGCCAACTGGAAGGACAGGGTTGATGAGCCGTCACATTCCATTCCATCACTGCACCCATTCCATTCCATCACTGCACCCATTCCATTCCATCACTGCACCCATTCCATTCCATCACTGCACCCATTCCATCACATTGTGCAGTGCTGCCCATTGCAGTCCATTCTGTAGAGAGGGTGTTTTTGAGATGTCTCAACAACACCCTCTCTACACGTTGCCCCGTCGCTGCACCCATTCCATCCCATCACATTGTGCTGCCAATTGCAATCCGCGTTCTGTTCCACCGCATGCCTAAGTGGTGATCGCTTTTAAGGCGCCTCAAAGGTCACATGCTTATGTGATTGCCTACCAGCTGGAAGGGCAGAGTTGCCCCGTCGCTGCACACTTACATTCCATCCCAGCGTGCTGCGCTGCCCATTGCAATCCGCTTTCAGTTCCACCACATGCCCATGCGGGCACTGTAGCAGAGTTGCCCCGTCGCTGCACACTTCCATTCCATCCCAGTGTGCTGCGCTGCCCATTGCAATCCGCTTTCAGTTCCACCGCATGTCCATGCGGGCACTGTAGCAGAGTTGCCCCGTCGCATCACACTTCCATTCCATCCCAGCGTGTTGCGCTGCCCATCGCAATCCGTTTTGTGCTTTTGAGTGGACTTTTGAGTCTGCTTGTGAGTCGACTTTTGAGTCTGCTTTTGAATCGACTCAAAAGCAGAGTTGCCCCGTCACTGTACACTTCCATTCCATCCCAGCGTGCTGTGCTGCCCATTGCAATCCATTCTGTTCCACCGAATGCCTATGTGGTGATCGCCTGTGAGGCGCCTCAAGAGTCAGTCACATGCTTATGTGATTGCCTACCAGCTGGAAGGGCAAAGTTGTGCCGAAAATTTTAACCGACTCAAGTTTCAGGCAGGGTTGAGCTGTCAGCCTGTCACTGCACCCATTCCGCGTGCTGCCCACTTCATTCATACCACGACCACATGCTTATGTGATTGCTCACCACTTTTGAGGCACCTTTTCAAAAATACCACGACCACATGCTTATGTGATTGCCTACCAGCTGGAAGGGCAGAGTTGTGCCGCGGCCTTCACTCAGGTTGGTCCCCTGGCGAGCAAGAAGTTAGGAAAGG